ATTGTTTTTTTCGCGGCAGGTTTTGTTTTTTTTTAATGGGTTCCTGGTTCTATGCTTTCCTGTTTCTCTGATTTTCTGCTTCTCTGCTTTTCCTGCTTTTCTGCTTTCCCTGCTTCTCTGCTTTTCCTGCTTCTCTGCTTTTCCTGCTTCTCTGCTTTTCTGCTTTTTGCTTTTCCTGCTTCTTTGCTTTTTTGCTACTCTGTTTTCCCTGCTTCTCTGCTTTTGTACTTCTACTATTCTATTTTTTCTTTTCTTCAGTTATGTGTTTTTGCTGCTCTACTTCCTGTTCCTTTGCTTCTTTGCTTCCTGTCTTTATTGTCTCTTTGTTTTTCATTTTCTTTTGCTTTATTCTGTTCTGTTCGTATCCTAAATGAAAGCCTAGAGAGACCCTAGGTGAAACCCCAAAAAAACCGAAAGAAATCCTGATAAGAAACCCTACATGAAAACCTAAATGAACCCTAAAGAAACCCTGAAGAAATCATAAATTAATCCTAAAGAAACCATAAATGACACCCTAAAGAAACTTCAAATGACACCCTAAATGACATCCCAAAGAAACCCTAAACAACACTCTGAAAAAAAATAAATGAAACCTTAAGTGACACCTTAGCTGAAACCCTAAATTGACACCCTAAAGAAACCCTAAATGAAACCCTAAATTGAAACCCTAAATGAAACCCTAAATGAAACCCTAACTGAAACCCTAGAGAAGCCCTAAAGAAGCTCTAAATGAAACCCCAAAGAAACCTTAAATGAGACCCTAAAGAAACTCTAAATGAAACCCCAAAGAAACCTTAAATGAGACCCTAAATGAAACCCAAACTGAAACCCAAAATAAACCCTAAATGAAACCCTAAATGAAACCCTAAATGAAACCTTAAATGAAACCCTAAATGAAAGCCTAAAGGACCCTCAAGAGACCCACATGAACGTTTGAAACACAAAAATGTAGCAAATACCATGCAGATGAGAGGTTGAAATGCCAAAATATGACAAATACCATGCAAAATGGAAGGCAAACATTGCCAAATGTAGCAAATACCATGCAAAACGACAGGTTCTAGTTCCAGACTGTTGCAAATACAAGGCAAATGGTACCGGGAAAGAAAGCCAAAAAACAAATCCAAAACCTGAGGCAAAATAAATTCCAAAAACTATTCTACACCCTAATTCATCTGTGTGTGTACATCTATCATCGTTTATCTTCTACCACTTCACTTTTGTCCAGTCCCCCCATGTTTGGGTCGCAATTTTTCGTAGCTCCTCTTTGGCAGAACTTGAGCCCACTAGCCAGCCATTGCTTATTGCGCCCTGCAAACGTAGGAATTCAGTGCACGGTGCCAAATGTACAAAGGTCACACAGATGGCAAGACATGGAACAGAGAAAAAACTTGGCTTCCGCCACAGGACCCAGGGGTCTAACACCCAATTGCAGTGGGAATAATGTGTCCACTACTAATGAATATTATATAAATATAAAGACATTTAAAGACCTCGAGATACACAGAGAAGGGTAGCGCCAGCAAAACTAGGTACATTTCACGAAGCATAGTGGGTAAGTTGGGACTTTTTGGAAATTCTGGATGGCCCAAGTCAATTAATGCCAACTCCGGATTAAATCCCGGGGCTGTTTAATTGGGGTGCCCTGTTTTGATAGCAGATGATCACTATTTGGGGGTACTCCCCTTAATTGCCTTAGTTACATAGTAAACCCGGTCTATTTATTCAGGGTTGACATTATACAGTGGTTCAAAGTTCATGGTATCCTGACTCGCGTCATAGGTACCGAGCAGCCGTGGCTTTGCCAAGGGTGAGAAGGTAAACAAAGATAGCAATTCAAAATCCCTCATTTGTGGATGATTATCCTGTATACACGTGATGCGTGTCTATGTATACAGATATATATATATACACATATATATACATACGTATTATTTATATATATATATAGTAGTGAGTAGGCATGATGCTAGGTTCGTTGCTTCAATTTTACCACATCATATATCATCCACCATATCCATTTCATGTTCCATCATTTTTCACCATCATATTTTCCATTCATCACCCATTTCCACCATATCATCAATCATTGTTCCAATATTTTTCCCATTCATCTTCATTTTTCGTTTTCCCATTTCATGTTTCCATTGTCTTTTCATTCATATTCCCATTCATCTTCATTTTCATCTTATCCATCATATTTTCATTCATCATCTTCATTTTCATCCATAGTATCATAGCGACGAACCTAGCATCATGCCTACTCATAGAAAAAATAGGTAAGAAAGAATAATTTAAATTATCTTAATCAAAATTTAAATCATTTCATCATAATTTTATTTCAGGATAATAATTTAATTGGTGTGGTCTATTCTTATTCAATTCATAGGTCATTTTAACAAAAATATTCAAATCCCTTATTGTATTTTTAACATTTAACTTTTTGCTTTCAATATACAGCTTAATATTTTCTTTGACATCTTCAACATCCTCGTGAGCAAGTTTCCATAATATCTTTTCCAAAACATCATATTTCTTTTCACTTATTCTCATTACTTGTTTAACATCTTTTAAGGTTGGTAAATAATGATGATAAACAGTAATAAATGCCAATACATCTTCTTCAACATGTCTTTTTTTCCTAATATTTATTTGACATAAACAGTAGAACAATCTTTGATTACACCTCCAAATACAACAGTAATCACACTCTTCCTCATCATAATTATATTTAATAATATTATTCACTATATCATTTGGTAAATTCAATTTATACAATTCCATATTTTCTTTTTTGAAATGACAACAGTCATAGCATTTTTTGTTAATATAATTATTAATTTCATTCCTCAACATTTTCACTCTTAATATATATAGGTAATATTTCTTTAAATACTTTTAGACTAAAACTTAAATTAGTATTAAGATTGACTAAATTAATATTAATATTAAAATGATAAAAATATTTCCTTTATCAACTCTTCTAAAAAAGATTAAGCTAAAATAACTTAAATTATCTTAATCAAAATAATTTAAATCATTTCATTCACAAATACTTTTTAATTCTATTTATTATTTTGTCACTTGTTTTTTATTGTAAATATTATTTCCTTTTTTTTTTGAAAATACCCTATTATTCTCATTGCGTTCTTTACTGTATATTTAAGTTCATTTGAATCACATTTACAACTTATGTTATTCATCGCTTCGTAATACAAATCATCAATACTAAAAGACATACTATACAATCTTTTCACCATATCATAGTATTGAAAAATAAAATCATTATCATTTCCTTCATCGTCGCATTCAGATAATAAATTGTGAAATTCTTCTTTAGTTAAAAAATCATTCATCTGAATAAATGTCCATATTTCTAAATCTTCATCAAGGGTATTAACACTTCTAATATCAATATCAATATTTCTATCATCCATAGCATCAATGTTTTTTACTACTTTGGAGCAATTATCGCACATAATATATTGACACATATTATCAACAACATCATTCATAAACCCTTGTTTCATTGTTAGTTTAATCATATTACAGTCTCTACATTTGTAACTCATAAACTTTTGTTTCAATACATTTTTAGCATCCATACCTTCACGGACAGTATCACTATAACAACTATACTCACTCTCAGTATCACTCATTATTCTAATAATCTTATATAGGTAATATTTCTTTAAATGATTTTAGACTAAAAATTAAATTAAGATTAATATTACAATGATACAAATATTTCCTTTAGCAACTCTTCCGGATTTCAAGAGAGACTTTGAAAAATCTCTCTTATCAAACTTTCAGGTATTCTATACAATTCTTCCTGTGTATGTCTAATAGCAAAAGGATTATTTTTAAAATCATTAGGTAAGCGTTGCGCCGTTTCAATATGCTTATTATCAACTACTTTACCGCAGTCTTTCTTACATAAGGGTCTAGGCGTCCAATTAGGACGTCGCAAAATCTCGCGACGGAGTGTCGCAAAATCTCGCGACGGAGTGTCGCAAAATCTCGCGACGGAGTGTCGCAAAATCTCGCGACGGAGTGTCGCAAAATCTCGCGACGGAGCGTCGCAACTTCCCGCAACGATTTTTTGGGGCAAGTGCTCCCGATATAAGTCAAATGATTTACTGTATTTTTGATGATGTAAATTTTACCCTTACTGTAGTCCCTAGTCATACGGTTTTCTATTGATTATTAAGGTTGATATATCTTTAGATGGGTTTAAATACCTAAAAATAATTATACCAAAATAGGTTTAATTGGTATAATCATTTTCAAACAATAATCATCATCGCTTCGGTAATATCTTTCTTATACTTTCTGTTGTCGTTTCTTTCCGGTGTTGGTTCATCACTATTCGTTTCTTCCAGTTTTTTTTGTTCTTCTTTTTCTGCTTTCTTCTTTTGATAGTATCTACGCTTACTTTCTTTTCTGCTTTCCTTCATGTCTGGATTGTCCCTTGTCCTATAATAATACAGTCTTTGATACAATGCCATTTGTTCTTTGATTTCATCAAGTGTTAAGTCTTCAGGTTTTTTTGATGACATTATTATTAATATAATCTATATCTTATTATTTCTTTAGATACATTTTAAGTCAAAAATAATATTTAAGTTTTTTCGTAATTATGGGATTTAGTGCCATATATATCTAAAGAAATATTTGTATTATTTTCCAATATATGTTATGATTAAAAAGTCTATAAAGAAAAATATTGATGCTTTAAAAAATCTACGAGATAGTAAAAGAGGCAAAATTCCAAATACCATTCTGGGTAAAGTGAATAAAATTGTTGAATTATATGAGCAGAGAAAAATCGTTCAACTATCTACCGCACAAAATCTTATCAACAACATTTCAACCAACAACCCCAAGAAAAGAGCAAAAGCATTAGAAGAATATGAAAAGAAAGTTGAAAAATATGAGACATCAAAACCAGCAGGAGAAAGAACAGCACAGAATGCCCAAAAAGCAAGAGAAGGAAAACA